TTTTTGTTCATTTCGACTAAATGACAATTACGTACGCGTAGTCAAAATTCATGATTTCCCTAGACCACAACTCACGTTTTTTGTAATTTCTGTTCATTTCGACCAAAAATAAATTAAGTATATGTACATCAAAATTTGCAATTTATCGGCTATAACTGCATTTTGTCAATTTTTATTTATTTTCAACAAGCTACAGTTAAGTACACGTGGTTCAAAATTCATTATTTTCATGGGTGGTAACCCACGAATTTTGTAACTTTTATTTATTTCAACCAAATGGACATTTACTATGTGCACATCAAAATTTGTAATTTTCATAGGCTATAAACTTATGATTTTTGTCAAATCTCATTCATTTCGACCAAATGACAATTAAATACGCATATTTCAATATTCATAATTTTCATGGGCTATAACTCTCGATCTTTACAATGTTTTTTGTTTCAGCTAAATGGAATTCAAGTTTATGTATATCAAAACTTGTGATTTTCATGGGCTAACCCACGATTTTAGTCAATTTTAGTTTCTTTTGACCAAAAGACAATTATGTACATGTAGACAAAATTTTCATTGGCTATAAACCTTTTTGCGATTTTTGTTCGTTTCGACCAAATGGACATCAAGTATGCGTACCTTAAATTTTATGATTTTTATAGGTTGTAACCTACAAATTGAAATTAAATACAAATACTTTAAAATTCATTAATTACTTGTGCTATCACCCACGATTTTTATCAAATTTCGTCCATTTCAACCAAATGGTACTTGAGCATGCATATTTCAAAATTCATGATTTTCATGGGTTATAACTCACGATTTTTTTATTTTTTATTTTTTTGGTTGAACGGAATTTAAGTATATGTACATCAAAAATTGTGATTTTTATGGACTGTGACCAACGAGTTTCGTCAATTTTTGTTTCTTTCGACCCGAAGACAATTATGTACATGTAGTTCAAAATTGATGATTTTCATTGGCTATAAACCTTTTTGCGATTTTTCATTTCGATCAAATGGACATTAAGTATATGTACATCAAAATTTGTGATTCTCATAGTCTATAACCCATGAATTTTGTCAAATTTTGTTCATTTCGACCAAATGGAAATTAAATACGCATAGTTTAAAATTCATTAATTTCATATGTTATAACTCACGATGTTATCAATTTTTGTTCATTTCGGCTAAATGGAAATTGAGTATTTGCACATTAAAATTTATGATTTTCATTGGCCATGACTCTCGATTTTAGTCAATTTTCACTAATTTCGGCCAAATGGCAATTAAGTATGCATAGTTTCAAAATTCATGATTTTTGTAATTTTTGTTCGTTTCGGCTAAATGGAATTTAAGCATATGCATATTAAAATTTGTGATTTCTATGGGCTATAATCCATTATCATATTGAATCTTGTTTATTTCAACCAAAAGATAATTAAGTGCATTTAGTTCAAAATTCATGATTTTAATGGGTTATAACCCTTAATTTTGTTCTTTTTGACCATATAGACATTAAATATTTGTGGATCAAGATTGGCGATTTTCATGGACTGTAACCCATGATTTTTGTTAACTTTTGTTCATTTCGACCATATGAAAAATAAGTGCGCATATTTAAAATTTCATGATTTTCATGGGGGTATAACCCATAATTTTTGCGTTAAGATCGAATTAAAAATTGTGTATATGTTGATCAAAATTTGCAATTTTTAGGGGTTAATAACCCATGATGTTTGTTAAATTTCTTTCATTTTGTGGACTGTAACCCATGATTTTTATTGATCAAGATTGGCGATTTTCATCGACTATAACCGATGATTTTTGTTAGATTTTGTCCATTTCGACCATATTAAAATTATGTACGCATAGTTAAAATTTTGTGATTTTCATGGGTTATAACCCATGTTTTTTGTAATTTTTGCATTACAATCGAATTAAAAATTGTGTATATGTTGATCAAAATTTACAATTTTTGTGGGTTTATAACCCATGATGTTTATTAAATTTCTTTCATTTCTACTGCGAGGCAATTATGTGCGAATAGTACAAAATTCATGAGCTATAACCCATAGATTTTGTCAAATTTTGTTCATTTAGACCAAAAGGAAATCAGATACACATGGTTTAAAATTCATTATTGTCAAATTTTGTTCATTTAGACCAAAAGGAAATCAGATACACATGGTACAAAATTCATTATTTTAAGGGGCTATAATCCTCGATTTTAGTCAATTTTTGTTGATTTTGACCAAATGGCAATTAAGTATGCATAGCTCAAAATTCATGATTTTCATGGGTTATTACCCATGATTTTTGGAATTTTTGTTCGTTTCAACTGAATGGAGTTTTAAGTACATGTACATCATTTCATAGGCTAGTTCACAAGTAGTCAACTTTCATTTATGTCAACCAAAAGACAATTAAGTACATGCAGTTCAAAATTCGTGCCAACCAAACACACATGAAGAATTTGTACATCAAAATTTATGCTTTTCATGGGCTGTAACTCACGATTTTTGTCAAATGTAAATTAAGTACGCATAATTAAAAATGCATGATTTTAGTGGGCTCTAACCTACGATTTTTCCAACTTTTGTTCGTTTCGACCGAATTAAAAATTATGTATAACAATATATGAATATTAAATTTTGCAATTTATCATGGGTTATAACCCATGATGTTTGTCAAATTTCTTTCATTTTGACTAAATGGCGATTAACTACGCATAGTTTAAAATTCATTATTTTCATGTGTTAACCTATGAATTTTGTCAAATTTTGTTGATTTCAACCAAATGGAGATTAAATATGCATAGTTCAAAATTTATTATTTTTATTTGCTATATAACTCTTAATTTTCACAATTTTTGTTCGTTTTAGCTAAATTTAGATTAAGTATATGTACATTAAAATATGCGACTTTCATGAGTTATAACTCTCAATTTTAGTCCATTTTCGTAGATTTCAAAATGGCAATCAACAATGCGTAGCTTAATATTCATGATTTTCATGGGCTATGACTTACGAATTTTCCAATTATTGTTCGTTTCGGCTGAATGGAGTTTTAAGTATTTTTTAGATTAAAATTTGTGATTTTTATGGGCTTATTATAATCCACAATTTTCATTAATTTTTATTTATTTCAACCAAAATATATTTAAGTACATATACAAAATTCATGATTTTCATGGGTTATAACCCATGACATTTGTAAATTTTATTCATTTCGACCAAATGGACATTAAGTATGTTTACATCAAAATTTGTGATTTTCATGGGCTATAACCCATAACACGATTTTTATCAAATTTTGTTCATTTCGACCAAATGGAAATTAAGTACAAACGGTTTAAGATTTATGATTTTCATGGGCTATAACCCACAATTTTAGCATTTTTGTTTGTTTCGACCGAATGAAAAATAAAGTATATGTATATCAAAATTTATAATTTTTATGGGCTATATAATCCATGATGTTTGTAAAATTTCATTCATTTCGACTAATGACAATAAAATATGCATAGTTTAAAATTCATGATTTTCTTGAGTTATAACCTAGGTTACTCGGACACTTCATCTTTTGACTCCCATGTCCATGTCCGTGTTGGACAATGCTTGGACCCTTGAGCGCATACATACATTTATGCAGACATGTGCCCAGTTATACGATACATGTTATAGTTTAAAACACTCGTGGTCCACTTTTTAGACATATATCTTACACTTTACATCAAATTTTTGCAACTTGTTGGACTCGGATCGGGTTCATTTTAGCCTATATCATGTTCATAAGTATGACTTTAAACGATGATTTGGATATTTAGTCCAAAAGTGAGCAGTTTTTCAATTTATAACCTACTCGATAAAAGAAACATAAAAAATTTATTACTTTAGTTCTCATAATATGTAATGAAAAAAATGTCTATATCATACGTATTATTTAATTTCAATATATATATATATATATATATATATTATATATTATATAATATATATATATATATATATAGTATATATATATTATAATATATATATTAGGCCATGTCCTCGTATTCTACATTTTATAAATTTGCCGGGTCCCGTATTCGCACACGTATCTGTGTCCGCACCTGTGCAACATAGGCTACCCATCAATTTTGCAATTTTCCTGAGCTTATATAGCCCATGATTTTTGTCCAATTTTGTTCATTTCGACAAAGTGAGAATGAAGCACGCATAGTTCAAAACTCATGATTTTGTTCTTTTTTGTTCGTTTCCACCCCATGACAATTAAGTACGCGATATGCGGTTGTGTCATGATCTATGTCAGAAGTCTTTTGTCTAGAGCAGAACAGAAGCACATAAAAAGAGGGACAAAAAGTGATGAAAAGCTTAACAGCTCGAAGAAAGTGTAACGAGATCCACTCCAGGTTCTGTACTAAAATGGTCTTAGTTATTGGACTAGAGTCACGAGACTTTGCTTGTGATGATCAGGAAGTAGATATCATAAATTGAGCTTTTGTATTGAGTTTGTTGTAGGTGTGGATATTATACATAGCAGTAGAAAACCTGAGCAGACTAGGCTTACATGGATTTATATTACTTGTTTGATTTCAAGAATATGGTTGTAGCATACAGCTTTACAGTGATGTCTGTATTATTATAAAGATCAGATAGGAGATGCTCTTATTCTGCTATCTTGATTGGTACTTTTCTTTTCCTGGTTATTCTGTCTGGTTTCTCGTTATAGTAGTGGAAAGGAATGACCTCTCTTCAATTTCGTTTTCTTATACGGGGTATTCCCTATAAATGTGCTTAGACCTTCCCACATCTCCAGGGTCAGGGAAATCTCTGCAATTTGCTCACTAGTTTAAATCCTAGATCGTGAATCTTGCCAGTATTATTCTCTATCTTTGAGTGCTTTTTCAATCATGTAGGCTGGTCTCCTCTTTTTTTGCCCCACCATACTCATGGATAACTCTTACTAATGTAATGTATGTATCAAGTATTAAACCTTGACATATTTTTGATGCAGGACACCAGTAAGAAGTCTCCAATGGAGTTGATCAATGAAGTTCCACCAATAAAAGTTGAAGGCAGGATTGTGGCCTGTGAAGGAGGTAACTGTCATGGTCTTTATTTGAAATTCATGATCTTTTTTCCTGCATTTTGATTTCCTACATTTCCTTCATGCTGCATGTCTGACTTGAACTCGGATGAATGAAATTGTTGCAGATAATGATCCTGCCCTCGGACATCCAATTGAATTTATATGCCTTGATTTGAAGGACCCAGCTATCTGCAAATACTGTGGCCTTCGCTATGTCCAGCACGATCATCATCATTAAGAATGTTTCTTAAAGATCGTCTCGTGTGCTTAAAAGTTTTGGGTCCTGCGGCAGGATGTTTTGTATCTTTCGTTGATTCTGTAAACTATTTCTTCGGGTTTGGTTTACTGATAGAAAGTTCCAAGAATTTGGCTAATAATGGAAGTTATGTCGCATCTGTAGAAGCTAATTTCTCCACTTGGCTATGGGATGTATCTTCACATACTTTTATGGCAACTTACGCGAGGCCAATATGAGACTCTAAATCGAGCATCATGGCATCAATGACTGAGCCTTATCATTTCCTTAATCTGCACTTCTTAGTTCTTATCAATATATCTTTTTTTATTTATTTAATAATCATAGTTCTTAACAATCTTTATTATACAAATGCTTCAGAAAACTTTGCTGACATATATTAGAGAATTTTGCCTGTTTATGAGTTATTTATGGGAGCTGGTACCTGCTACTAGTAAAGCCACTGCTGATAGGAGAATTTTAAGTAAATCACCTAGGCACAGCTCTACAAAGCAAGAATGAGAACAAGCGAGAGAAAGCGGATAGGACTGATGATTGCAATTTAATAAATTACACTTAACAAAATTACAAGTTCCTAGCAAGGAATGCAGTTACATCCATCTCTGCGTTTTTATCTGACTCCTCAAAATTGCTGGTAAATCGCTAGGAATCACTAATAGTTTCCCGAGATGCACCAGAATCATATGCATGTCTTGCGCGACGTCTTACTCAAGCTTGTCACACGCTAAAATTTGTCAAAATAGACACCTTCCGTTATATACACCTTCGTGCTGCCAAAATAGATCAACTAATCCTCTCCCTTGGGCCAAAAAAAAGTACCTACATTCTGCTCTGCAACGGCTTCCCAGGTACTCCTGCTTCAAGAGTAAGGCAAGTTGAGCCCGCCAACCTCTTCGTATGTACAAAATTTGTCAGCTGGCAAAATGTGACATACGGGAACTCCCTCCTTGTCACTGATTCTGTCCCAAGAATGTAAAAACTCTTGCTTTAAACATTCTAGCCAAGTCGACAAGCTCTTCTTCCAACTGCATTTTGTTTGTAGCATGGCGTTTCCAGTGGCTTTGGCTTTTCCTTGACATCCTATTTGACACATTGATCGTCAAGGTTGCAGTTGCTTTCCTTGTCAATACCTCCAAGGTAGCGTTTGAATAGGAGGGATTTGATGATAACCGATTTAAGAGAATGAGTGATTCTCTAAAAACTGAGAATCTATATGAGAAAAATTCATAAAGAATATCGTCAGGCAAAATTAATAAGGAATGCTGTCAAGCTATGAATGAGAAATCTGAATTATTTCCCTGCAAAGAGAAATTATCAAGATCACATTTTGGTGGCTCTCATTCTGAAAATGATTACTTATATCAACTCTTTGACTTGAGATCATAAAATAGAAAGGTCAAACCATAATGTTGCTGAAAGTTTTGTACTATACAAAGAAAAAAAATCTATCGACTTAAGACAATTTTCAGTTCTATCAGATGATCAGAACAGTTGTCCAATATATCTACAGGTTTTAATTGTTCAGGCATCAGCAAAGGTAATGGCTATCGAATAACAAAACTAAAACGACAGCCAAACTGAAGGATGCACTGTAGTAAACCATTCAATCTCACCATATTTAATGAGGATGCACTGTAGTAACCAGAAAGCAATGACAATTTACATTGAAGGAAAGCCAATAGGATAGACTAACCTTTCTTTGCAGAAGGTTTGCGATTTTGCTTCCTCTGTATCCATTCCAAATGCTAGAATCCGTATAATCAGCTCCAGAAAATTTAATCTCTGAGGCGTTGCTGAATATAAAAGAACATCAAAGCCAGAACTTCCTGACGATGCTATAAACGCCAACACGACAATTACATCCCTCTGAAGTTTAAGCTCCTGAAAAAAAAATTATCTACTATAACTGAAAGTTAATAAAATGGTACCCCAAAACACAACAAATAGTGTTGGGCATCTTCCAGGTTCTCACATCTGTATCGTGTACACAAGCATGGCAAAAAATATAAAACAAAAAGCATCTTCTAGTTATGCATGTATTTGTTATGTATTAGGTGGCTCTTCATACTCCACTATGTTTTCCACCAATAATTGTACATATAGCCTTACCCTTCATTAACTTACAAAATAAGTTGAATCATGGAGCGAGCTAATTTCATGGTGGCTAAAATTCTTGTTTCCCTGAGCTATAACCCATAATTTTTGGCTATTTTTAGTCAATTCAACCCATTGACAAATAATTTCGCAGACTAAAATTCAGGATGTCGTAAGTTAAAACCCATGATTTTTCACCCGATTTGGTCGTTTCGACCCATAGGCAAAAAATTACGTAGAGGCCAATTTTCATGATTTTAAGAGCTATAATCCACGATTTTTGAACGTTTTTTTAGTCGTTTCTACCCAATAGCAAATAATTTTAGGAGTTCATGTTTCAAGAGTCATAAATCACAATTTTTGCTAACTTTCATTCATTTTGACCCAAATAAGAAAACTTCGCAGTTTCCAAAACTCATGATTTCAACAGCGATAATCCATGATTTTTTGCCATTTTTAGTCGTTTCAACCTATCGACAAAAATTTTCACGATTGCCAAAATTCACGATTTCGTGAACTATAGCTCACGATTTTTAGCCATTTTTTGTCGTTTCCACCAATTTGCAAATAATTTCGCAAAGTTCAAAATTCATGTTGACGTGAGTTATAACCCACAATTTTGTCCACTTTGGCTCATTTTAACCTAAGTGAAAAAATTTAGTGGAGTCCAAATTTCACAATTTCAAGAGCTATAACACACGATTTTGGGCCATTTTTAGTCGTTTCGACCAACAGGATTAATAATTTCATGGTTATCAAAATTCTAGATTTAGTAAGCTATAATCCATGATTTTGTCATTTTTAGTCGTTTCGACCCATTTAAAAATAATTTCACGAAGTTCAAAATTCATTATTTCATGAGCTATACAACCCACGTTTTTGTCCATTTTCGTTCATTTCGACAAAAGGGATAAAAATTTCTCATAGTCCAAAATTTATGTTTTCATGAGCTATAACCTACAATTTTGATAAATTTCAATCATTTTGATCTAAGGGGAAAATTCCGCTAGAGTCCAAATTTTCAATTTCATGAGCAATAACACACGATTTTTTGCAATTTTTAGTCGTTTCGACCTATTATGAAAAAATTCACATTACCTAAAATTCACAATTTCCGTGAGCTTTACCTCTTGATTTTTTATTATTTCAGTTGTTTTGACAAATTCGATAAACATATTCATGATAGCCAAAATTCTAGATTTTGTCAGCTATAACCCACGATTTTTGGTAATTTTTAGTCGTTTTGACGCATTGATAAATAATTTCTCAGTCCAAAATTCATGTTTTTATAAGCTAAACCCACATTTTATCCATTTCCGTTCATTTCAACCCAAGTGAAAATTTCGCGCGGTAAAAAATTCTCAAATTTCATGAGCTATAACCTACGATTTTTTGCCATTTTTATTAGTCGTTTTCGTCCAATGACATAATATTTTGGAGGTCAAAACTCATAATTTCATGAGCTATAACCCGTGATTTTTTATCATTTTGATCCACTAACAAATAATTTCACGGTAGCCAAAAAAATATTTTCTTAAGCTTTAACCCATGATTTTTGGTTTTTTCTAGTCATTTTGACTTCTTAACAAATAATTTCACAGTTGTCAGAAGTCACGATTTCATGAGGTATAACGCAAGATTTTTGGCCAATTTAAGTCGTTTCGACTTGTTTACAAATACGTTCGCGAAAAACAAAATTCACATTTTGTGAGCTATAACCCACGATTTTTATCTAATTTTAAGTCGTTTTCATTCAATGCCAAATAACTCCACAGAGTCCAAAATTCACAATTCAATGAGCTATAACACAAATTTTGGTGATTTTAAGTCATTTCAATCTATTGGCAAATAATTTCATGAAGACCAAAAATTCACAAATTCGTGAGCTAGAATCCACAATTTTCTACCGCTTTAAATTGTTTCGACCCATTGACAAATAATTTTTCGGAGTTTAAAATTCACGATTTTATGAGCTATAACCCACAAATTTGGATACTTTAAGTTGTTTTGACACATTAGCAAATAATTTCACGGTGGCCGAATTTCACGATTTCATAAGCTATAGCCCGCGACTTTTAGCCATCTTAAATTGTTTTGACAATTGGATAAATAAATTCATAGTGGCTAAAATTCTAAATTTCGTGATCAATAACCCACGATTGTTAGCCTTTTTTGTCATTTTTACTCATTAGCAGATAATTTCACAAGGCCAATATTCACGATTTCATGAGCTATAACCAATGCAATTTGACCATTTTTAATCTTTCCGACCAAACGACAAAATATTTCCGGAACGCATAATTTCACGATTTCATATGCTATAACCACAATTTTTGGCTATTTTTAATTGTTTCCACCCGACTGAAAATAATTTCACAGAGCTCAAAATTCATGATTTCATGGGCTACAACCCATGATTTTTTGTCATTTTTACTCGTTTCAACCCACTTGCAAAAAAAATTCAGAGGGTAAAATTGACAAATTCAAGAGCTATAAACCCGTGGTCATTTTAGCTCGCTTTGACCAATTGCCAAATAATTTCGTGACAAACGAAATTCACGATTTCTTAAGCTATACACATAATTTAACTATTCTTAGTCATTTCAATCCATTGGCAAATAATTTTACAGAGACCAAAATTCATATTTTCTCGAATTATAACTCGTGATTTTATACTTTTTTGTCGTTTAAGCCCATTTGCAAAAAATATCGCGGAGGCAAAAATTGAGCAATTCACGAGCTACAACCACTGATTTTTGGCCACTTTAAGTCGTTTCTACTCATTTGCAAAAAAAATCGCAGAGACCAAACTCAGGTTTCATGAGCTATAATCCACAATTTTTAGTCACTTTAAATCATTTTGACCCATTGGCAAAAAATTCACGAAGATCAAAATTCACTATTTCATGAGCTGTAAACCACAACTTCTAGCCATTTTAAATCGTTTCAACCCATTAGCATATAATTTCGCTACATGAATTTTGGACACATGAGAATGAGAGTTTTTGGCCAAAAATCTATCGATACCATGAACTGGGCCGTTTTTCGTTAATTCAACCCATTAGCAAATAATTTCACGGAATCTAAACTTTATGATTTCATGAGCTATAACATACGATTTTTTACCATTTGAAGTCATATCGACACATTAACAAAAAAAATCACGAAAGACAGCTCACGATTTCATGAACTATAACACTGATTTTTTACCATTTTTAGTCATTTCAACCAATTAGCAAATAATTTCACGGAGTTCAAGATTCATGTTTTCATGAGTGATAACTAGGGGCACATTTGGTCTGGATACGGTTTGGATATGACACTTACCAGTCCATATCCGCTTTCTAAAAACGGATACAGATATGGATGCGGATATGCATCGGTTAGAAAAGGTCAAGACCATATCTGTGCTAAACAAAAACGAATACGGTTCAGATATTAGAGAATCGAACACGGTTATGATCACGGATACAAATCGGACATTTAGGAAAAGTATGACTCGGACATATATAGGATGACAAAAAAATTGTATAATCACATAGAATAAGATAGTATATACAGATAGAATCACTTATCTAATCTAAGCCTCGAACAAACACCTATACCATAACAGCCTCATTTAGCATATAACAATAGGATTTTAGTGACATGGTAGGGGGAAAGACAAATTGTGTTAAATAATATGTGAATCAGATATATAGCGGGTTCGTTTGTAGCCAACGGTAAGGTTAATTGCCTTATATCTGAGTGGCCAAGGTTCGAATAATGGCAAGTGCATTATATTGTTATTCATATTTTTTTATTAAAATTAACATCTAGATATCCGAACCGTATCCGCTTTAAACCCGATTACTGTATCTGAAACCGTATCCGGTCAGTTTTAGATTTTGGCTACCATATATCCACATCAATATCGAATACGGTTGCGGTCAGTTCGGATATACCCGCACCGTTAGCACTCCTAGTGATAACCCACAATTTTTGTTCATTTTGACCTAAGAGTAAAAAATTCACCATTCCATGAGCGATAACCAACGATTTTTTACCATTTTTAGTCGTTTCAACCCATAGGCAAAAAAATTTACAGTGGCTAGAATTCACGATATCATGAGCTATACATCCCATTATTTTTTATTATTTTTAGTCATTTTGACCAAAAGGATAAATAATTTCATTGTGGCCAAAATTATTGATTTTGTGAGCTATAAGCCACGATTTTTGGTCATTTTTAGTTGTTTCGACCAATTAACAAATAGTTTCACAAAGTCCAAGATTAATGTTTTCATTAGTTATAAAACCACGATTTTGTCCATTTTTATTTATTTAGACCAAAATAAAATTTTCGTGAAGTTCAAATTTCACGATTTCAAGAGCTATAACACAATAGTTTCGCAGTGGCCAAAATTCTATATTTATCAAGCGATAACCTTGGATTTTTATTATTTTAATCGTTTCGACCACTTGGACTAAGTTTCATGGAGTTCAAAATTCATGTTTTTATGAGCTATAACTCACAATTTTGTAAGCTATAACCCATAATTTTTTATCATCTTTAGTCATTTCCACCCAATAGCAAATAAATTTTCAGAGGCCAAAATTTGCAATTTCAATTTCATGAACTATAACTCATGATTTTCTATCATTTATATTCACTTGGTCATCGACAAATAATTTTGCCGTAGCTAAAATTCACAATTTCGTGTGCTATAACCCATGATTTTTAACCATTTTTAGTCATTTTGACCCATTTGGCAAATGATTTCATGATTGCACAATTCACAATTTCG